AACCACCTGGTACAGCATAACAAACAGTACCACATGAAAATACTGCTCAGTAGCTTTCATTTGAATGGTCACACACTAGGGTTTCATCCACAGACTTTAATGTTAGAACCACCTTGTACAGCACAATGATAAACAGTACCACATGAGAGTACCGCTCAGTAGCTTGCATTTCTATGGTTACCAACTAGGGTTTCATGCATCCAAGATCAACCCGCGGTAAGAATATTGTTTCGCAGTAGGGTTATAGTAGAACTTCATCCCCGTGATGTAAGCATTAAAGCCGCCCTTTGTAGCACAGCGAACAGTAACACGTAAAAGTAACTGCTCAGTAGCTTTTATTTGAAAATTTCACAGGTAGATTTTACATCTTCCGACATCAAAATTGGCATCTTGTGCAGACATGCAGGTCACAGTTCATGCTTTTATACGTTCATGGTTATATAAGTCTCAACGTCCTAGTAAGCAATTTAAGCTGAAGTGAATATATAGTCTAATTTGAGATACCCGAGAGCAGTTTAGTTCTCCGTTTATTTCAAAGTAGAACGACGACGGGTTCGCAGACCTACAGATGTGTAATTTGTTGCCCAACGCGACTAGCGACTCGGACTCTTTTCTGTGGAGCGCAATCTTGTTTAACACTAGCTGGCGAGGCTTCCGCGGGAAATGTTATATAATGCATGTTTCGTTGACCATGCAATGGAATGCAACTAACCGATACATTCACCATCGCCATATTTTAGCGCCTTTAGCATAGTCTCTCTGAATCAAGGTAATGTTGAGTCAGTACTGAAAAACTTGCGCTAAAATCACTGGGTATCAAAGTTTCCGTGCCTTAATGCATAAATGTCACGCCTACTACTCACCAAAATCTCCCGCCTGTGGTCTCGAGTTTAAGGAATATAAATTTCTGGGAAATTATCTTCTGAAGGAAATGTTTGATATTGGTTTTCCATGCACGCGTGTGGAATCCCTGACCTCACGTACACTATTTGAACACGCACATGTACACAATAATTGCGCGTGATCTTTTCCATTGAAGCGCATCTTTTCAAAGTAGATGATTTTTAACAAACAGATTTATGATTTTCGTGGCTTGTAGTTTCTATCATGTTGTTTCCCTTATAGAACGAAACTGTGATCAATTAAGCCGAAGATAACTTGATTTCCTTGCTGGCTTATGTTTAGCATTGCCGCAGGCTAGTTTCTTCATTGACCACTAGTGACCGAGCCAAGCGTGAAATAATCTCTGCAATATTAAGATGTTTTGGTTTGCAGATTATGAATGGTGTCTGCCCAGGGTCTTAATCATATTGTTGGTTCAGAGACAATTTGAACTTTGCTGCAGTTATATTTTAGGCATCTAAATGACAAAATGTAGTTTTGTGGGCGTAAGTTGATTATCCCACAGTAAGTTGTATAATTAAAATTTGCAAGCTAACATCTAAGGTCGAAAACTTGAAATAAAAACTTAAGCTCAGGTCAGACGAGACATAATAAAAGATAATGACCTAGGACTTGACTGAGAACATTTTGAAGACTGTTTGGCAATCCACACAAACAATAGGATACTGAACACGATGCGAAAGTAAATTTTCTTCCTGTTCTTTGAGTGTCCCAGCTGAAAAGGAAGTGCTTACACTGTTACAAGCAACCTTGACTTAAACAAAGAGAAAAGCCTTGACAAATTACAAAACGTTGTAAATAAAAGCTGTAAACTGGTTCACGGGCGATCACAGGCGTAACATTTTGGGTACAATTTGAATGCAAGCCCTTCGTAAACTCGAAGTAATTGAGTTTTCCTAAATATAATGTTAATTGTCATACATGTACGTTTTCTTGCCCATGTTTTGGTGCTGCAAGACATTCTGTCTTCGTTGCTAGACGTTCAATGACCTCAATATCATATTAGTAAATTCTAAAAGTAAACAATTGAAGGTGCTAAGGTAGCAATACATCAAAGCCACTACAAGGGACGCGAGCGTAAAACATTTCCTTTGGAGAGCAGTATTCTTCAACATTTTTGGCTAACAGTAAAACCTAAAAAACCGGCATGTACATATTATTTTTAAATGTTGATGATATTTGGATCGTCCATAACGTAAGATATCACTTAACCATGCGATTACGTAACTGCGAAATGTTAAAGAAAAATTTAGTCCAGTCTAACACATATGCCGGCAGCAGTCGAACCTCACAATGCGGACAGTTTTACATTACGGCCAGACAGCTCAATTGGTTCCAGACTAATAAGCCAAAATTCTTGCAACCTCTACCTCAACAACAGTTAGGTCTGGATGAGAAATAAGGCGCTTTTAACGGCCAGCTGAGATTGTGAGATATGAAAAATTTACTGGTAGTTGAGAAGTAAACTGGAATTTTTGACTGATTGCTGTGACTTAGGCATGCACTTCCATGCCGACCCTCTAAGACAGTCACCTCCATTAAACGGAGAGTCAATTCAGGGCATCTTTAGTGTCCGTATTACAAAGAGGTTTGCAAGTACTACTGTTATCTGTGCATAATCTAAAAAGCTTTTCTGCACTTGTGTAAGATTAATTCTTAATCATGTGCATTTCCTGATCGCTTAAGACCACCTTGCAATGGAATTGAAATACTTATTTTTCTAAAAATAGGAACATTCCATGATATTTACGGGTTTCTCAAAAAACGCCAACAGACGGATATTTGAATTAGTAAAATCCTCGAGATAATATAAAACGAAAACAACAAGATAAAGAAACTAACAGTTAAATAAACAAATCTGGAAATATTCGGATTTAGTAACTAATCCATGTTCATAACTCAAGTTGATCATTCAAGAGATCTTGCTCTTAGCCACAGAAATGTTCCTAAAAAGGCTCGGAGGAAAAAATTTGCAATTTTTGCAGACACTCTGGATTGCTAATGACTTCTTGCGTAATCTTATATAGTTGCCATGGACATCGGTAAATGAGCAAATTTTTTTTTTGTCCGGTAATATATATGGTTCTATAAAAGATATACTGAACTATGACGGAAATTTCTACTACAAAAAAAAACCTAGGGTAATCTGTAATTTCTACAGAATCTGATGTTTCTTGAGGTTAGTATGGCACAGTTCTTGCATACATATTTATACACCATAGACGAAAGTAAAAATAGCGACTTTTATCGAATTATATTACCGATTCTACATAAGATATATCATGACGGAAAATCCAAGCGTTTTGTAGAAGTTTGTATGGATGTGAAATTCGATCGAAAGATAGCACAACTTTCCTTCAAAACGGTAAATTTAACTTGAAAATCGAAACCTACAGCCCTGCTGCCGATAGCCAATAAAGCGCCAGAAAGATAGGAGAAATACAGAAGGTATCGTTTTGAATTTAAACAACGTAGCTTTTCGAAGGAATAATGGCACATCTTTCGATTGAATTCCAAATCCATACAAACTCTTATAACACGCTTTGATAACCTGTGATGTAACTATGACAGGAATTTTATTAATGAATCTTGGCACTCTTTCAGCATGCCATTTTTCGATGGTGGTTTTCGCGCGGGCAAATATCGTCAAAATTTGAAACAACTAAATACGACTTTAAGGGTAAATATTTTTATTTGAGATCTGTGGCGGCCGCCGTGACTGGCAAGAATCATCCTGGCGGCAGATAAAAGTAGTTGGAGCATGTCTCGGCAAAATGTTACATAAGGTGCTAATAATATTGATCCAAAGTCGAACTGATAATTTATTGTGTGTTTATGACGGAAAATTTTTGTTAACTTTCAGTTGCAAAACAACGGGAAATATTAACTAGCAAAGGGACCAGTAGAAACCTTATAACACAATATAATGCTATCTGCTTAAAGAATTGTAGAAGAATTTACTGTACGACTAGGTGGTAAACATTTCGGGAGTGCCGTTCACAAAATTTCCATGTTTTAGAAATTAGACGAAATTTGACGAAATTTTCAGTTAGGCATCCTCCTTCCCTAAAATAATACACTGGTGAAAGAGCTAGAATTGCGTGCTACAATGCGAAATATTATAATTTTTTTTGAAAAAAATTTCTCGAAGGGTGAAAGGGCTAATTATAACCTTGGTCTCCATGGCTGTTCTTTTGGAGTGCCGCCATTTTCATTTAATAATCTCTTTTGGGTCAGCCCCCTTGAAATGTAATGATGCGTGTACACACAAAACAGTTCTGTTGTGGCGCCCCATAAGAAAAAACGCAAAGGTTGAGCCCTTTTTTAATCTTCCAGCTGTCTGGAAATAATTTATTTTCCATTTAAGATGTAAATAGAAATACATAGTTTTATCAAGTCATTGATATGAAAACAAGGGTGTTGAAATTTGCATCAATCCATTGCATAGGTTCAAGGTTTAACCTGGCGTCACGTGTTTGTGATAAAGTAATACTTCAAACTTATAGTAACTTCTATGGAGACGGCTTATCGAAGATTATGAGATTTCCGTTTTTAGAACACGAACTGATATTAGTGTTTAGCCGCAGTTGTTTTTGGGATTCCGGGATTTAAGGTGGTGCAAACTGGTTCGTGCTAAACGTAGTAGTCTATTTTTGTTCTCCGCCTAGCCTCACGAAACCTTTTACACTACACTGAGTATTGAAAAAGGATTCATTTAGTCCAGTATTGATTGACATAAGACGAAATAAAGGGCTTAAGAATAATGGCACCTCTTATTGTAACCTTTACAAAAATGCATTCTCTTGTTGAATTTACAAAGCGAAGCACACAGCCAGAAACTGCCCCGAAGCGATTGTGTAGTCAAGCTCTGTCTAAGAAGTATTTCTTTCTAAATGCTTTAACGACATAGTTGAGTTATTTCTAGCCGACATACCAACAGCTGCAGGTCAATTAGACGCCAGCGAAGGGAAATATTAGAGCTTGAAATTCGCGGAATAGTTTTGCGATATCAATGTAACTGTTTTTGTTCGGTCAGTTTCTTCCGCGAAACCCAACAGGAAATAGAACTATGGCCCATTTCTGAATCACCGATGAAAGTGGCAATTCATTCACGTAATGTTTTATATTATCTCGGGTTTATCACAATTGAAGAGATAACGGATTTTGCGGGTTCTAAATACCCTTTATTAATATCAAAGGGAGCATTCTTTTCTTCTATGCGTGAGAAAGACGGGTTGAAACGCACAATCACACCATGATTCGCTACTGAAACCAAAACGATGCGACTTCAACGCGCGTTTCAAATATGCTACAATGGTGAGATAATATCTAAACCAAAACAAAACTCAAAAAGTGTTTACAGATCCGCAGTGGAAATATATGTCAAGGTTCACTGATTCACCCTCCACAGTACATGCTAACAATACGTGCAAAAGATTATATTTTTCTTCATGAAAATGAAGGACGGTTTTTCAATTGGAAACCCATCGAGAGATCAAATGCATTTTGAGAAAGTCTCATATCGAGTTTCTAACCATATCGTAACAACTTTGGTTTGTAGTAAATTAAAAATTGTGATTTCCACCGAAATGCCTCAGATTTACCCGTAACAATAGTAACATGTTTACAGGCTAATCTACATGAGAAAATCGAATTTTCGTGAAAACATGAAGCAAGAGTACAGGAATTATTTAGCTCGGGGTGCTGAATTTGCATTGCAAAGAAGACTATTAAAGGCAACAGCGAGTTGAATGGATCTTTCGGGCGACTTTGTAACGTGGCAAAGCTTAGCAATAATGAAAGTGGAAAATTTTGTTTCTTGTTTCAATTAAGATTGATTTGCTCTAAAATAACTGGTTGTAGCTTATAACGACGGGACGTCTTTAATAAAAGACCGATTCTAGCGAAATATGTAAACATGTAGCCTCTGCCACCAGCTGAAATGGAAATGTAATTTTTCGCGCGCTTTTTTCCAAGAGCGCAATTTGATCGGATATATCCTGCGCGCTGTGATATCGCCGTTCGAATCATCTGTTACTCTAAGTCGTTCTGATATCGCGTGATATCAGCATTCGTGGTTAATACTGGTCGTGGCAAATTTGAATACATTAGGTAGTACGAATCCATGTTTGTATTGTATACAAAAGGTGTGACGACAGCTTACGAAACAATGAAATCCCTTAATACAATGTAATTGTCGGCTTTTTGTTAGTCGCCTAACAAGCGAATGTAGATCAACTCGTAAAAGTTTCGAAAACGGCTTGAAACACTGGCAAGTTCGAAACAACGAGACTTCGCGACTTCATTTGAAAGCTAAACTTTGATCTGAACGACGGCAAAGTGAACGCACAATTCAATACTCGGAGATTTCAGGTAAGCCTGCTAGCGGTTTACTTACAAGTTATGATTTATTAAGAGAGTTAATTTTGCGATCCCGATTTCTCTTCTGCAGCTATTAACACCCTTAAACACCTTTTTCGATAAGTGTTCGAGGTAATTTGCCCAATATGTTTCAAGGTTTTCCGAGTGCAACGATTTTCGCGTAACTGACATATCTTTCTCTTCAAGCTTGTTTATCTTGTAATCAAACATTACGTATTCAAATATAGAGTACATATTTACAAAGTTTACCCCGGTTTTGTCTTATATATCTTCTCGAAACAGTTATATGTGTCTATACGCTTCTAAGGTATCGAGTGCGTTTCATTTTCGACTATTCTTAGCAAAATCCTGCCTTCTGAAATTTCATTTTAGCGAAATGTAATCCAGTTTACACAGTCTTGAACAAGTGGCGACAAGTCAATAGTCGGTTGTGCTGCTTAAGGGGGCATTGACAACGGTTTACATCTTTCCCTGAATTAACAAATATTTTCTACCGACGGATTGATCGTAAAATTTGTGCCTCTTGTTTGTAAGCTCGAGTAGTTATTTCCACCAAAATAATGGAGTGTAGTGGAAAAGTAAAGCTTTATGCGTGCTCAAGCTTGCGTAACAAAATTGACTTGGTACGGAATCCACCTGCCGCGAGAAAAAGTTCGATTACAACTGAACGCCATCTAGAACACGCAGTCATTAGAAAATCACAAACAGGATTAAGCGCACAGCGACCCCGGATTACTAAGTTTTCTTTTTTTATTTCTTTGAAGAAAAAAGCTGGGGAATCTAAAAGGCTCTAACAAAGAAAATTGTTTTTGAAGCGACAGTTAAGCACACATGCGATTGATGAAAAACTCACGGGTGGCAAACGGGGTTAAGGGTTCTTCGCCCGGATTTACAGTTATAGCCAATTTCCGGGGCTGCGAAACAATTTCAACTTTACATCTGTGCCGCAAAAATAGAAAGTCTCGGCTACAAAAATAAATGCGCGCAAATGAAATTCCGAGGAAGAGACATATCAACAGCCGGTTCTCCTGTGTTTCGCCATCTTGAACGTTTGGTAGCGAGTGGTTAAGTTTCTAACCGAGGTCGCGTTGATTCTTTCGAAGAAAAACAGTTAAGTTAAACAATTTACAGCGAGGACCGCAGTTGCGTGACCTCCCGTGAAATGTTCCATTTATGAATGCCAATATATTAACGTGTTAACAACAGCCCGGGTCTAGTAAAAGACGAATTTACCGGCTTGGATAGAGTTATCAAAAACCATGGGTTAATAGTGATGTTCGCGCCGGATATATTTACCAAGGATCGAAAGCTTGCACAGTTTCAGACAAAGTCAAGCGGTTTATAAGTGAGTAACCTAGTGAGAAGGAAACGCTAAATAAAAGCTATTGTTCGAGTGATAATTTATTCGTGTTCTACTTTCAGGAGATGCATTGTTAATATCTCCATTTTCTTTAAAACCTGGTAAACGGTGGAAAGAAACCAAAGAGAGATGTGCTATGAATTTTTTCTCGTTTTGGTTTTCTTATTATTGAATTAGAGAAATTAAAACGCTTTTTAGTTCTGTCAGCGTTATTTAAGAAACTTCCATCGACGTTTGCTCTGATGAAATCATTTTCCAGGATGATGGTAGTCGCGAGTTTTTGATTCAGTTGTCGAGTTTAAATTTATTTGTAGAAACTGCACCTAGATTCAGTAATTGCGTCCTGAAAATTGCTGAGTAGATTTTATGTGCTGTTTCATTCACCTCTGCATTTAACGCGCACACGTTAAAATGCTTTGCATGTTTAGGCGCATTTCGCTTGTTAATTAAACAATT